ACTCCCTTCTACGCCTGGCTAACGCCCCCCCCCCCCACCCCCACTAACCCTCCACACCGTACACAGGCCGACCTCCTGGAACGCGTGTTCACCATCGCCGAGGGCCTCGGCGTGCCGCGACTCCTGGACGTCAAGGACGTGGCGGACTTGGAGAAGTCCGACGAGCGGTCGCTGGTGACCTACCTGTCGGAGCTGTTCTTGGCTCTGACGAACACGGCGGCGGCCGCCACGCAGGCGGCCCTGGCCCTGGTGGCCGGGCAGGTGCAAGCGGCCCTGGCGGCCGCGGCCGATGCCCAGGCCCAGGCCGACGCGCTGATCCTGTCGGCCGGGGAATTTGTCCAAGCGGTCGAGACCGCCCGGACCACCCGGTATGCGGACGAATCGCTGGCCGAGGATCTGGCAGCCGTCGGGGCCACGGCCCTCGGGTCGGCCGCCATCGGGGCCATTCTCCAGCGGGAGGCCGCCTGCTTCGAGGGCCTGCGTGCGCACTACGCGCGTCTGGTGGCCGGGCATCTGGTGCTTCGGTCGCGGATGCAGGTCCTGGGCCAGGACGATGACGGCGCCGCCGGGCAGGCGGCCATGGCCAGCACGCCGGCCGGCCAGGAGCGCCTGTCGCTGTCGAGCCTGAGCCGGCTGTGGAACTGGCTGGAGCTGTCGTACTGCCGGCGCACCGGGCGCCTGATGCAGCTGGCCCGGCTGCTGCTGCTGCAGGAGGCCGATTGCGCCTCGCTGTCGGAGCACCACCACCGGGTGGCCGACTGGGCCGATGCCATGGAGGCGCGGCTGCTGGATGCCCCGATCGCCGGGGTGGCCCTGCGCGCGGTGGCCGAATCGGCCGCCTACGACGCCCTGATGGTGGACTACCTGGACCAGGCCACGGTGACGGTGGCCCGGTCGGCGCACATCCAGGCCTTGGGCTTCGGGCTGGACCTGCCGGAGCCCCTGCGTCCGGGGTTCCTGCGTGATCGGGCCGATTCGCTGGCCCTGCGGTGGACTCGGCTGGAGGCGCGCATTGCGTCGGCCGCCTCGGAGGCGGCTCTCTTCGGGCAATTGGCCGCCCTGCGCGGGCAGCTGGACAGCACGGCCCAGTCGCTGGAGCAGGCCCTGGCCCAGGTGGATCATGTGGCCTCCTCGACCTCGGGGCTGCTGCAGCCATCGGCCGGGGCGCCGATCGTCCCGCAGGCGGACATCCTCTGGAGCCAGGGGCTGACCCTGCCGCATCAATTGGCCCGGTCGTATTGCGAGCTGTCGCTGGCCCGGCTGCTGGCCTCCAAGCGGGTGTCCTACCTGTCGGAGCTGGTGGGCCGGTATCAGGATTTGTATGCCACCTCCTCGGCCGGGGGCAGCGGGTCGGTGCCGCTGTCGCCCGGGGGGGCGGCCGCCGCCATGTCCCTGGCCAGTGGGGCCCTGCTGCTGGGTCCCGGGGCCGGGGTGGGCGACTTGCCGTCGTCCGACATGCAGGCCCTGCCGGTGACCGAGGCCTCGCGCAAGCGCCTGCACGCGGAGCTGACCGAGCTGGACACCCGGCTGCAGGATTTGCTGGAGCACCATGCGCAGTTTGCCGACCGGCTGGCCGGGCTGCCGAGCCTCGGGCCGGCCATCTGCTTCCAGCTGTACCAGGACCAGTTGCTGATTGAGCACCAGTGGCTCGGGGCCATTGGGGACCTGTTGCCGCTCTTCCGTTGGAGCCAGCCGGATTTGCGTCTGGTGACCGGCCTGGGGGCGGCGGCGGCGGCGGAGCAGCAGCAGCAGCAGCCCGGGCCGGCTTGGCGGCTGCTCTACTCGGCGGCCGAGTCCCTGACGGAGCCCGGCTCGCGGTCCTTCTACATCGGCGAGGCCGAGGTCCGGGCGGTGCCGGGGCTGCTGCCGTCGCCGGCCGCGGCCGGGGATGACCTGGTCGAGGCGGCGGTCGATCCGGAGGTGGTGCTGATCCAGCTCCGGCGCCTGCAGACGCTGCTGCGCCTGCGGCAGACCCATTCCGAGCAGCTGGCCGCCGTGCCGGTGGACATCTTCGCCGGGCCGGAGGCCGAGGAGCTGCATGTGGCCATGCAGCGGGACTATTCGGCCCTGGCCGAGCGCGGCCAGCGTCTGCTGGACAAGCTGGCCCACCTGACCGAGGAGGCGGAGCGTGCGTCCTTGGTGAGCAGCTTTGCCGGGCAGCTGCTGGCCTTCGGGGCCGAGTCGCGGCACCTGTGCACCCTGCTCGGGCGCTTCGGGGCGGTGTGCTCGGCCACCGGGGCGCTGGCGGTGCCGGCCGACATGGCCGAGCGCCTGGCCGGGGAGACCGGCCAGGGTGCCCTGGCCACCGCGCTGCCCGGGCTGGAGCGGTCGCTGGCGCGGCTGTTCCACCAGGTGGCGGCCCTGCACCGGCGCCTGGACATGGAGCAGTCGACCGCCCCGGGCGGGGGGTCCCTCCTGTCGGAGGCCACGCTCGGGGAGCTGCGCCGCGCGGCGGCCGCGTGCCAGGCCGCGGCGGCCGGCCATGCGGCCTCGGTGCTGCAGCTGCACTGGACGGCCACCGGGCCCGGGGCCGGGGCGGCGCTGGAGCGCGCGCTGGCGGCCCTGGCCCGGCTGGCGGCCCTGAAGCAGCCCTCCGAGGAGACGGTCTTGGAGGCGGTGCGCGGGCTCGGGCTGGCGGCCGCCGGGTCGGTGCCGGTGCCGGCCCCGCTGGATCCGGACGCCGGGGCGGCCCTGGGGCTGGTCCTCGGGGATGTGGACCATTTGCTGGCGCTGGCCGGGGCGCTGGCGGTCAAGTGCAAGCTGGTCACCGGGTCCGAGGACCGGGTGGCGGTGTCGCCGGCGGCGGCCGGGGCCCTGGCCAGCGTGGAGGCCTTCCTGCAGAAGGCCAGCCAAATGGAAGAGGTGGCCCGTTCGCCGACGGTGCAGGCCGCGCTGGCCATCTGCCTGAAGCGCCTGGCCCCGGGGCCGAGCCCGGGGCTGTTGGCTTCGGCCGGGGCGGCCGGTGCCCTGGGCGATGGTGCGCCGGCGGCCGGCACGTCGGGCATCGACTCGGCGGCCGTCACGCCGACCGCCCAGGTGGGGGATATGGCGGCGCCGGACCAATCGCCCGAGTCCCTGGGCGCGGTGCCGATCTGCCTGTCCCCCGGCCCGGGGGCGGCCGATGACTTCACCCTGGTCGGGGTGGCCGGTGCCGGGGAGGATGTCACCGAGGCCATGCACGGGTATGTCGGTCAGCTGCAGGATTTCCTGATGGAGCTGATCGGGGCCCCGGTGTCGGCCCTGTGGCTGACGACCTCGGTGCTGGTGGGCCCGGCGGCGGTGGCGGCGCAGCTGCTCCAGCTGCCGGTGGCGGCGGCGGCGGCCACGGCCACCGGCGACGATGGGCAGCATGTGTCCTCGCTGTCGGGGGACCTGCTGCCGGCCGAGGAGGATGCGTCGTCGTCCGGCTCGCCGGCCGGCGGCCCGGTGCTGTTGAGCCTGGCGTCGGTGGCGCCGTTGGCCATCGCCGCGTCGACGGCCGACGTGCGGCTGCACCGGCTCAACCGGCTGTATGGGCTGCTGCAAATGACGCAGCAGCTGTGCGTGCCGTTCCCCGGGCCGAGTGGCGATCTGGGGGACACGCATGTGCTGGCGCTGCTGGCGTCGAGCATGGGCCCGAATGCGACGCCCCCGCCGCCGGGGGCCACGGCCGGGGTCATTGTCCCGGCGCAGCAGGTGGTCTTCGAGCTGCTGGCATCCAACATCCTGGGCCATGTGTCCAATGAGTTGGTGTCGGCGGTGTCGGCTTGCCTGCATGCGGAGGAGACCCTGATCGATGGGGCCCATGGGCGGCTGAATGCCCTGGAGGGCGACCTGTTCGAGGTGGACGCCATCCTGTCGTACCCGCTGGAGCTGTCGGGCCCGGGCGACGGGGCGACGGCCGCCCCGGCCGAGGAGCGCCTGGTCACCCTGGCGGGGGATTTGCGCGCGCTCCAGACCCGGAGCTGGGCCCTGGAGTGCGAGCTGTTGGCGCACACGCGCACGCGCATCCGCGGGCTGGTGGGCTTCGGCCTGCAAATGAAGCAGGCCCTGCAGTCGTACGGCGACCAGGTGGAGCGGGTGGCCCCGCTGGCCGGGGCGTCGATCTTCCTGCTGGCGCGGGATGCCAGCGGCGGCGTGGCTGTCGGCGCACCGGCCGGGGCCGGGGCCGGGGCCGGGGCCGGGGCCGGGTCACTGGGCTCGCTGGCCCCGGGGCCGGCCGGGGCGTCCGGCCGCAAGGGGTCGCTGCCCGGGTCGCTGCCCGGGTCGGCGGCCGGGTCGCAGGTGCTCTTCCCGGCGGCCGATGCCGGGGAGGCCGGCGAGGCGAGCCCGGCCCTGGCCGGGGGCCCTCTCGATGCCGTGGGCGGGTCCACCGCCAGCGGGCTGGTCATCGCCCCGGCGCCGATGATCACCTCCCTGACGGATGTGCTGTGCGCGCGGCGGGCGGCCGCGGCCGCGGGCGCGGCCGCCGGCGGGACCAATGCCCAGCAGATCAACAATTTGCGGTTCACGGCCACGCGGTTCTGCGCCCTGCGCCAGGGGAGCAGCACGCTGACCGTGCGCCTGCTGCATGTCCTGCGGCTGATGGAGGACATGCACCGGAAGGCGGCCCTCGTGTTCAGCCATGTGCTGGAGGCGCGGTGGCTGGCGGAGTCCTGCCACAGCGTGTCGGCGGTGCTGGACGAGTCGCTGCCCGGGTCCTTCCCCTCGGCGCTGGGGTTCCCGCGGGGCAGTGACCTGTCCGGGCGCGGGTGCCTGACCCGGCTGTGGGTGCCGCTGTCGAGCCTGTTTGTGGAGTCCCCCTCGCCGGGGGATCTGCTGGGGCCCCTGCGGGACTTTGCCACCGGGGTGCTGGCGCCGGATACGAGCCTGCGCCAGCGGGCCCTCCTGTCGGAGGCCCATGCCACGGACATGGCCGTGCATGCGCAGTATTTGGCCATGCTGGCCGGGCAGTCGGCCAACTTGGAGTCGGCCGGCGACCGTGCCGGGCTGGTGGGCGGCAGTGGGTCCGAGTCGTCGGGGCTGCTGCTGTCGCCGGGCAGCAGCGCGGCCGGTGCCGGGCCGGTGGCCAGTTCGACCGGGTTGCTGGCGGCCGGTGCCGGGCCGGCGCCCCCATCGCCCGGGCCCCAGGCGGCCGGGTCGGCCGGGGCGCTGGCCTCGCCGCCGACCACCCCCCGGCAGGAGCGCCATGCTGGTGTGGCCGCGGCCACGGCCACGGCCATCCCCAGCGTGTCGTCGCCATTGGCGGCCCATTCGCCGGTGACGGCGCCGGTGGCCGGGGCCGGGCTGGGCGACTCGCCGGCCGGGTCCAGCCCCGGGGCCGGGGCCGGGTTGGCCATGTCCTCCTCCGGGTCGGGCTCCTCGTTGCCGGGCATGGCCGGGCCCGGGGCCGCCATGTCGCTGTCCCTGGCCCCGAGCCAGGAGCAGGCGCTGGTGAATTTCGTGACCTCGCTGCCGGGCATGACCCGGCGGCTGGGGACCATGCAGGCCGAGTGTGCCGGGCTGGTGGCGGCCTTGCGGTCGAATGTCAGCGGCCCGCCGCTGGCGGTGCAGCTGGGCAGCGACCGGCGCGCGGTGCTGGTGTCGCTGCATGACCGGCTGAGCCGGACCCTGTCGCGGGCCGGGTCGGCCCTGGCCCTGGGCGAGACGCTGCCGCGGTTGTCGTCCCTCGCGGCCGGGGGGCGTGCCCTGGCGGCCGAGTCGCCGCTGCTGCACAGCCTCGATGAGCAGCAGCTGCTGGACGCGCTGCTGGAGCTGGACTCCGTGGCGCAGGACTTCTTCGCGGCGTGGGCCATCTTCCGGGATGTGCTGCCGGCGTCGTTGCCGGCCTCGTGCCGGCTCTTTGCGCCGGTCACCAGCGCCGAGGAGGGCCCGGAGGGGGACCCGGCCGGGCTGGTGGCCGCCCTGCCGGAGCCGCTGCACCGGGCGCTGGACAACCTGGCCGTGCCGCTGGACGCCGGGCAGTCATTGGTCCTGACTGTCGGGGAGCTGGATGCGGCGCTCGGGTTCCTGGCCGACCGGTGGGTGGCCGTGGGCCGGGGCATTGCCGCTGCGCGGAGCCAGCTGTGGCAGCGCCTGGGCCATGCCTTTGAGGTGCGGTCCTCGACGCTGGTCCTGGCGCGGACGTACTGCGAGTTGGATTTGCTGCTGGCCACGCTGGAGCCCTTCTACCAGCCGAGCGGTGGCGATGGGGGCGACGGGCACCCGGAGGACGGGCCGGCCGGCGGCACGGTGCCGATCCTCCGGTCGCCGGCCCCGCCGCTGGCCGGCCCCGGGGGCTACTCCTCCTCGGTGCTGTACAACACGTCCCTGGCGTGCGGGTCCTTTGACAGCCTTTCCTCGCCGGGGGCGCTGACCGGCAGCGGGTCGCACGATTCGCTGGCGGTGCCGGGCGGCTCGGGGGCCCCCTCCGGTGCCGGGGGGAGTGTCTCGGGCCCGGCCGGCCTTTCGGCCCCGGACCAGGGGGCCGTCGCCGGTGGCGGTGGCGATGTCTTCGGCCTGGCCGAGGCGCCGGCCCTGGCGCGCATGATCCCGCTGCCGGTGCTGCAGCAGGCCCTCCTGCTGGGGGATGGGGACTTGACCGTGGCCGGGCCGCTGTGCCCGATCAGCGCGGTGTCCGGCCGGTCGCTGGTGGCCCTGCTCCGGCACTTGCTGGATCAGCAGAATCACCTGGAGCGACTGCTGGCGGTGCCGGAGCTGGCGCCGGCGCTGGCGCGTGGGCTCGATGTGCCCGGGCTGCTGGCGAAGTTTGTGCCGGTCGACACGGTGGCCATCGGGGCGCGCATTGCGGCGTACCTGGGCTTTGTGGAGGACCATGCGGATGTGTCGGAGTCGTGGGCCGGGCGCGCGGCCGACCTGGCGGCCCTGCTTCGTTTGGTGGATGCCGGCGACGTGCCGGAGGAGGCTGACGACCCGGCCGGCGGCGATGTCGAGGCCGATGCCGCCGGCGCGGCCGGGGGTGCTCCCCCGGCCGAGGCCGATGTGGCCGATGTGCCCGGTGATACTCCCGGTACTCCCGGTGAGGCCGATGTGGCCGATGTGCCCGGGGAGGCGGTGGCCGACGCGGGCGACGTGGCGCCGGAGGCCGTTATCGCGGCCGAGCCGGACACCGCTCCGGCGGAGGCCGGGGCCGATGAGGCGGCCCAGCCGCCAGCCACCGGGGCCAAGTCCCCGAGTGACGGGCCCGCGGCGTCGCCTGCGGCCTCTTCCTCGTCCACCGCCGGGCGCAGCCCCCTGGAGCGGGCCTTCCTCACGCAGTGGGACAGCTTGCAGGCCGGGCTGGCCGGGCTGGAGGCGCTGGTCCTGCGGGGCCCGGCCGGCCCGGGGGCCCTGACGCAGGGCTGGCTCGACCAGGCGTCCGGTCAGCTGGCCGCCTGCCATGCGGACCTGTCGCGCATCATTTTCATCATCTCGGCGGACATCCCGGTGGCCTCGTCCGGGGCGTCGTCCGGGTCCGGGGGCGGGTCCTTGCGGGCGCACCAGCGGTCCACCTCGTCGACCAGCATCGCCAAGGACATTCCGCTGCTGTCGGCACCGCCGGCGGCGCGGCCGCTGCTCGGCCGCGGGGTGGCCCCCCTGACGCGGCTGCCCTTCCTCGGGGCGCCGGACCGGGGCCTGCTGCGGTCCTTCATGCTGGCGCATGAGCCGCGGCTGCTGCTGAAGCTGTGGGCCGCCAGCGAGGCGCTCTTCGCGCTGAATTGGATCCTGCGGTCGGTGGCCGACGGGCTGAATGCCCTGGCCCGGGCCGGGGGGGCGTGTCGTGCGCGCACCGTTGCCCAGGTGGCCCCGGTGGTGGGCGGCCGCGAGGCGGCGGCCACCGAGGCCGCCCCCCCCTCGCCGGTGGTGGTGACCGCCACGGCCGAGGTGGAGGAGGATGCCCAGTCGGCGGCGGCGGCGGCGGCGGCGGCGGTGCTGTCGGCGGCGGCCCTGCCGGATGGGCTGCTGGCGCGCGCCAGCCCCGAGTGGGTGGCGGCCTTCAATCGGTTCTCCTGCGACGAGGCGGAAGTCGGGTATGCGGACTTGCGTGTGCTGCTGGACGAGCTGGACATCAGCCCGGAGGCCTTCCTGGACGATGCGGCGCATGTGGCCGTGGATGCCGGGGCCGATGCCTTTGGGTTGTTGCTGCGCGCGTTGGACCCCAACCGCACGGGCATCATCTCGCGGGATACCTTCCTGAAGTTTGTGGCCGCCACGCGGTCGCAGCCGGCGGTGGTGATCCCGGTGCCGGCGGACTTCCATGCCGGGGCCGGCAGCGGCAGCACCAGCGCCATGCACCTGCCCTCGCCGACGTCGGGGCTGGGCGGCAGCGCGGCCGGGGTGTCGGTGTTCGCGGCCTGCGGGCCGGGGCAGGCGGATGACTTCCTGGCGCCGTTGGCGGCCGGGTCGCTGGCCGGGGCCGGGCAGCCAGCCGGGCCGGCGGTCGGCCTGGCCCGGCGCCGTGGTCATTTGGATGTGCTGCTGCTGCTGCTGGTCCGGCCGGGGCTGCTGGCGCGAACGGGCGTCTCGAGCCTGGAGGACCTGCGGCGGCTGGTGGCCGAGCATGACACGGCGGCGGCCCTGGCGGCCGAGCATGGCGATGAGGCCGGCGGCGCGGGGGCGGCGGCCCTGCCGACGGCGGTCCCGCTGTCGACCGTGGAGTCGATCTTGCGCGAGGATCCGATCGCGCGGCAGGTTTGCCGGACCCTGGCGGCCGGGGGCTCGAGCCTGACCTTTGCCCAGGTCGGGGACTTTGTCTTCGGGGCCGGGGCGCGGTGCACGGCGAGCGCGGAGAAGCGCGCGCTGGGCGACCTGCCGGCGGCCACCGGCCGGGCCGATGCCCCGCCGGAGGTGTGGCTGGCGCGGGGGAGTCTCCTGCGCGTGGCCGGGCTGCCGCTGTTGGGCATGCTCCCGCCGCGGGAGGCGGCCCACGCCGACGGGACCACCACCATCCGGGTGAATGCCGGCCAGGCGGGCGGGCACCAGCGCACTCGGTCGGCCGGCGGGCCGCTGGCCGCGTCGTGGCCGACGGCCGCCGTGGCGGACATCCACCTGCTGGGGCTGGCCCTGGGCCATGAGAATGGACTGCTGGCGCTGGAGCAGGTGCTGGCCAGCAAGGCCCTCCTGCGGCAGCGCATTGTCCAAGCGTCGCTGCATGGGCTGGGCTTCGAGCTGGCGCATCTGGCCCTGCCGGAGCAGCTGGCCGAGGACCCGGGGTCCGGCATGGAGTTGATGCTGGAGCTGCTGGCCTCCACGACCGAGGACCAGCCGCTGATCAGCCCGCACTCGTTGCCGGACTTGTCCCTGCTGCAGGAGGCCCTGGGCAGTGTGAAGAGCCCGCATTCGGCGGCCGACCGGGCCGAGCTGCAGTACCTGCTGGTGGACACCAACCTGGACCAGAGCTACTTCCTGCGCATGCTGGGCCTGGCGGTGGCCTACTTCCGGGACCGGTACACGCTGTCGGTGGCCACCTTTGCCGAGCGGTCGCAGGCGGCGGTGGCCGCGTGTGTCGGCAGCGACCTCCACCTGCCGGGGTATTTGCACGCCTTCTACCTGGCGTGGGATGCCCTGAGCGAGTGCACCGGGCTGCTGGATGCGCTGCTGCCGCAAATCGACCGGGCCCTGGTCCCGCCGAACCCGCCCCCCCGGCCGACGATCTACCTGGCCGGCGGGGCCCACCCGGAGTCCGGGCGCCGTGGGGCCGGGGGCTCCTCGCACTCGGCCGCTTCGTCCAGCTCGTCGACCCTGCGCAGCATGGTCTCCGGCGGGCGGAAGCTCTTCCGGGCCATGCGCCCGGGTGGCGGCGGCGGCGGCGGCGGCGGCGGCGGCGGCAGCAGCACCGGGCTGGCGACCCCGCCACGCCCGGTGTCCGGCGACTCGTCGGCCTCTTCGCCGGTGATCACGGCCGTCACGTCGCCGGCCGGTGCCGCGGTGCCGGCCAGCGCCGGCCCCCCGGCCGCGCACCTTCAGAGCCTGTCGCCATCGGCCAGCGGAACGGACCTCCTCGCGGCGGCCACGCTCAAGCAGCCGATCGAGCCCTCGGCGCCGGACTTCGTGCTGATCAACGACCTGGATGTCCCGCGCAACACGGCCTTCGCCTCGTCCTCGAATCTGTTGATGAACCCGCTGGCCACTGCCGGCGGGGCCTCGCCGGGGACGGCCTCCTCGCCGGGAGGCACCGCCGCCGCCGGGGGCAAGAAGCCCCGGAATGGCGGTGGCGCCCGCCGCTGAGGGGCGGCCCCCCCCTCCCCCCCCCCCTGTTGTTTCTCCCTGTGGATGGCTGCGGACGGGGGCGCCCGTGGCAACGGCGCCGCTCCCCCCCTCCCCGCCGCGCGCGTGCGTGCGCGTGCCCTCCACACGCCGACACACATGCACATATTTCCATACATATTTGTACATCAAACACAATGCACCTCCCTTTGTTTTTTTTTTTTCCTTCGCGTGCCCGATCTGGATGGTGATTCCATTCTACTCCATCGGAACGGAGGTGTCGCCTGGCGGCCCGCGGAGCGGGCGGCGCCCGTCACACACACACACACACACGCCCGCGTAGCACGCTGGCCGGATGTACGGCGGCGGGGGGGGGGGAGGCGCTCGGGCACACACGCCCCGCAGGCGCACACGCCCCTCCCCCCGGGGGGGCGAGGAGAGGACGAGGGGCGGGGGGGGTTCGGGCTGCGAATGGGCTTCCCCCTTCGGGAGGGCGCCGGCGGCAGTTTCAAACGGCAAGAGCTGGCATCTGGGCCGGGGGGATCCGGCCGGCCGGGGAAGATCTCGCGGGCGCGCACGTCCCCCCTCCCCCGCCCCCCGGCCAAGCCTTGGCTTTGTGGCCCCGGGCCGTGGGGCCCGGCCTCTGGCGCCGCGCTCGCCAGGGGCATCTGATCGCATCACCAGTGCATGTGCGCGCTCGGCTGTGCGGCAATCGACACACGGCCTCGCTGCCCCCCCCCCCCCCGCCCGCCGCCCGGCCCGGCCCGGGGCCATTCTTGGCGGCGCACTCCAGAGCCCTGGGGCGTGGGCCTCGCCGCGCAGTCCCCTCGTCCCGCACCTCTCGCCCGGCGTCTCTGCCGCCTGTTCTCCCTTTCCTCGCCCGCGCGGCGCACCTTGCTGTCCGCCCCCCCCCCTCCCCCCTCCTCCGCCCCTCGCTTCCCGCCCGCCTCTCGGCCGCGCCCCCCGCCATGGACCAGATCCCCGGGGAGCCCTTCCCCGACCACTATGCCGTGCTCGGGCTCTATTACTGTCTGCGCCCGAGCCAGGAGGACATCAAGAAGGCCTACCACCGCCGGGCGCGGGAGTTCCACCCGGACAAGATTGCCCAGGCCCAGCAGTCGGCCCAGGCGGCGCCGCAGATGACGCTCGACGCGGCCACGCGCATGATGGGCCTGCTGAATGCGGCGTACAAGGAGCTCGGCACGCCGGCCGGCCGGGCGGCCTACGATCACACCTTGTCGGAGCTGAGCCGGCACCGGCGGCCGGCGCGACATGCGGCCGGCGCCGCGCCGGCCACTCAGCACCACCACCAGCCGCCACCCGGGCAGTCGTACCACCAGCAGCAGCAGCAGCACTTCCAGGCGCAGCAGCGCCAGTACCAGCAACAGCAACAGCGGCAGCAGCAGCAGCAGCAACAACACTATCACCAGCAGCAGCAGCACTACCAGCAGCAGCAGCAGCAGCAGCAATTCCAGCGCCAGCAGTACATGCGCCAGCAGAATTACCGGCCGCCGCCGCACTCGCCCGGTCGGCCGGGGGCCAGCAGCCCCGGGCCCTTCCGCGAGGTGCCGAGCAACCCCTTTGCCGGGGCCGGCGGCGGCGGCGGCGGCGGCAGCGGCGGCGGCGGCAGCCCGGCGACGGCCCCCTACCGCGGGGTGAACCCCTTCGATGATGGGCCGACGGCCGGCGGCCCGGCCGGGCGCACGGCCCCCACATCGCCGGCCGGCGCCAGCACCACCCCCTCGACCAACCCCTTCGAGGAGGCCTCCCCGGGGCCGGGGTTTTTCGACAGCCCGAGCAACCCCTTCTCGGACGCCGGGACGCCGGCGGCGCCCGGCAGCCCGGCGCCCGGCCGGCCCACGACCAACCCCTTCGATGAGGATTTCGTGGCGCCGGGCGACGCCCCGGAGGGCCCGGAGGCCTCGGACGAGGAGCCGGACGCCGCGTCGCCACGCATGGCCACGGGGCCGCCATTTGCCGGCGGGCCGGTCGAGTCGGCCGGCGCCGTGGCCGAGTCGGCCGGCGCCGTGGCCAGCGGCCCAACCAGCCCGGCGGCCAACACAGGCAAGGAGCCGGAGCCGGACCTGTCGGACTTGCTGGGCTCGGTGCGCCTCGGCTGAAGACGGGGTGCGCGCGCGCGCGCGGCCAATGGATCCTCCCCCGATTGGCGGTGATTTTGTCGGGCGGGGCGCGGGGAAAGCAAGCCAGCACACTGGGAGCAGGGGGGGGGGGGACACATGAAGGGGGGGGGGTGTATTGTGGGGCGGGGGAGGTGTGTCTTCCCCGCTCCGTCGCGAGGTGGTCTTCTGAGATGTGTCTTCTTTTTGGGGGGGGGGGGGGTTTATTTGGGTTTGGGGAAGTTGTCCTGGGGGGGGGGGGGGGGGGGGGGGGGGGGGGGGGGGGGGGGGGGGGGGGGGGGGGGGGGGGGGGGGGGGGGGGGGGGGGGGGGGGGGGGGGGGGGGGGGGGGGGCCGCGGCACGCACAGAGTGGTCGTCGCTCATTGTGAATGTCCTAGTGGTGGCGCGCGGTAGCTGGAGAGAGGGGAAAGGGCGAAGGCGGGTGGGCAGGGGGCGGGTGTCAGCGCGGGCGGCGATCAGCCAGGGGGGGGGGGAGACATAGCACGACAGGCACGTGTGGCGGGTCCACGCCCCGCAGGGGAGAGGGGGCACGGCAGGCGGCCAGGGCGCAGAGGGGGCGAGAGGAAGGTGGGAGGGGGGGGGGGACAAAATGGCAGCAGGGGCGGGGACTGACAGGGGCAGCAAGGGAAGGAAGCCGGGAGGGAGAGGGGGCTTTCTTGCGTTCGATGGCGGCAAGGGCCCGGCCGGCCCCCCGGGCGCGAGGCGCGCGCCGATAAGTGTCCCCCGGCGCCCGGGCGCGGGAGGCGGCGATGAGTGGGCGCCCAATGTAGGAATGGCATTCCGGCGGTGGCACGACGCCCAGGGACGTGATCAGGACCTTGCGTTCGCCTGTGCCAATGCACGCCGCCTGGTGCCAACGGGCGGCGGGCCGTGTCGCGCGATCGTCCGGCGTCCGGGCCCGGCTCGCGCCCTGCGCCCTCGCACGCGCGCCGAGGCCGGCGGTGGGGGAAAAAAGGGGAAAGAGAAGGAGACAATGGCCACCATACACCCCCCCCCCCCCTCGCATACTAACAAATGACCGGCCACCGGCACGCGCAATCCGAAATTGGGGTGTGTATTGGGCCGAGGGAGAGAGGGGGGGCCGGCGGCACAGGAGGGCACCACTTGCGAAGAGGTGCCCCCCCCCCTGCCGAAGAGGGACTAGAGCGTGGGTGTGTGGGTGTGCATGCACATGGGATGCGGCAGCAGCGGGGCGGCAGGCAAGAGGGGGTGCCCCCCCCTGGCCTCGTCCGCGGGCACCAACACCAGCAGCAGCCAACAACACACAAACGCCCGTCCGCGGTCCTCACAGGGTCTTCTATCGCCGCAGCGCTCCCCCCGCGCCGCCCTCGCACGGTGCACCAAACAGAGCACCCCGAGAGGGGGAGAGAGGGGCGGCGGTCGCAAGGCCGCCCTCGCGCGCGCGCGCGCGCGCGTCACATCAGGAGTCGCCCTCCGGGGCACCGAGAAAGGCGCCCCACAGGGCGCGGCACGCGCACTTAGCAGCCGAGGAAGCCCTTCTCCTTCATCCAGCCGTCGCTCAGGTGCTTGGACATGTAGTTACGGATGGAGTCGGGGAGGATGACAACGCAGCGCTGGCCGGCCTTGAGCTTCTTGGCGGCCTGAAGGGCGCCGACGACGGCGGCACCGGAGGAGCCACCTATGCGGGAGGGAGGGGAGAGGCACGGCGTGAGCATGTGTTCGCGAGGAGGAGGAGAGAAGGGGCGAATGGGGGCACCACGTATGGACGCACCGCACAGGAGGCCCTCCTCGCGGATGAGGCGGCGGGCCATCTCGAAGGACTCGGAGTCCTCGGTCTTGATCCACTCGGTGACGATGGAGCGGTCCAGGACGTCGGGAATGAAGTCGTAGCCGATGCCCTCCACCTGGTAGGTGGTGATGTCGGTGGTGTTGAGGGACTCGGGCTCGGCGAGGATGGAGCCCTTGGGGTCAACGGCGACGATCTGTGCGCGGAGGGACGGGCGGCCGGGGGAGGAAGGGGGGGGGGGGGGATGAGTATCGGAGGGGCGTGCACAGGTGGCATGTGCGCACGGGGAGTGGCGCAGTGGCAGCAGCAAGGGGCGCGCGGGGGGAGGGCCTGCTGGAGCAGGGCGCGACGGGGGCACCGGATACGCACATGGCAGTCGGGGACGGTCTCGAGGATGCGGCGGGCAGTGCCGGTGAGGGTGCCACCGGTACCGGCCGCGGAGACGAACATGTCGACCTTGTTGTCGAGCTGGGCCAGGATCTCGGCACCGGTGCCGTAGTAGTGGGCCAGCGGGTTGTTGGGGTTCATGTACTGGTCAAGGATGACGGAGTTGGGGATCTCGGCGTTGAGCTTCTTGGCAACACCGATGTGGGACTCGGGGGCGTCTGCGCGGGCGGGCGAGGGGAGGCGCCATGTGAGTGGACGGTCGCGTGAAGAGGGAGAGGGAGAGGGAGAGGGAGAGGGAGAGAAGGAAAGGGAGAGGGAAAGGGAAAGGGAAAGAGAATGGGAGAGAGAAGGAAAGAGAAAAGGAAAGAGAGAAGGAAAGAGAGAAGGAAAGAGAGAAGGAAAGAGAGAAAAGGAGAGAGAAAAGGAGAGAGAAAAGGAGAGAGAAAAGGAGAGAGAAAAGGAGAGAGAAAAGGAAAGAGAGGGAAGCCGGGGGAGGGCGGCGGTCCGGGTGCCGGTGATGACGCACCCCAGGCGGCCTCGGTCGGGGTGCGGATGATCTCGGCACCGAGGGCCTTCAGGACGTTGACCTTCTCGTCGGACATCTTCTCCGGGAGGGTGATGATGCAGCGGTAGCCCTTGAGGGCGGAGGCCAGGGCCAGACCGATGCCGGTGTTGCCGGAGGTGGGCTCGATGATGGTGAAGCCGGGCTTGAGGATGCCGTCCTTCTCGGCCTCCTCGACCATGCGCAGGCCAATGCGGTCCTTGACGGAGCCACCGGCGTTGAAGAACTCGCACTTGGCCCAGAGCTCGCACTCGAGACCGGCGGCCTTGGCCAGGCGGTCCAGGCGGACCATCGGGGTGTTGCCGATGCAGCCGAGGATGGAGTCGGTGCGGGTGGGGGGGAGGGTGGAGGTGGCGGAGGTCATGGTGCTGGAGCGGGGCCCGGGGTGGGGTGGCGGAGGTGAGGAGAGGCCGACGCGGGGAAGTGGGCGAGCAGGGGTGCGCAACATACAGGGAGACGGGCACGGGAGACAGGAGTCGATCGTGAACCGGGAAGGGGGGGGGGGGGACAGAGCGCTGGGGAGGCCGAGCCCAGGGGTCGGGGGCTTTTCTCCCTGCCACATGCCGTGCAGCGGGCGCCGGACGGCTGGCGGCCGGGGCCGGGGCCGGGGCCGGGGCCAGCCACAGATCCGCCGGCTTCGGTGGGCAGTCGAGTCCCCGGGTGCGGCGGGAACATGTATGTGATGGATGCCCACCCCATGTTGGGGCCGGCCACCACATGGCTGGCGCCTGGCGAGCGGGGTTTGACGTACACATACGCGCGCGCGCGCGCGCACATACACACGCACGTACGCACGTACGCACGCATGTACTCCCCCCTGGCCGGCGCGCGCGCGCGCGCGCCTCCCCGGCCAGCGCATTGCGACGCCCCTGGACGCCGGCCGTCCAACCGCCCCCGGCTGACCGCGGCGCACGGCCCCTTGCGTGGCACCCCCGGCCCCGGGTGTGTTCGCCGCATCGGGCCGCCCCGGCCAGCGCCCCGGGCCCCCGGGGAATGCCACACGCCCTGCCCGGTCCGCGGAGCGGCCAGGGGAGCCCGGAGAGGAGGGCCAACGGGGGCCAACCCTAAACGGATGCGAGGGTATTTGCCCGCCAGGGCCCAGACGTCCAGCGACCCGGGCGCGAGAGTGGTGCATGCACGGTGAGCTCATGTGTGAGGAGGGCGTGTGTTACGCCTACGCGGCCGCGGTGCTGACCAAGCAGTGCCCCCCCCCCCCC